TCTATCATACTATTATTATACTATTTATGATGAATATTGAGTATAGTGAATGAAGTGACAATATAATTGTTCAAGTCATTCGTTACTACTCCGCAGTCTGCTGTCACTGTTTTAAGATTTAGAAGTTAGAAGAAGTAATTAACCGCAACTCCTTTGAAGGTCTCAACAAGATATTAAGTATAATATAGAATAAGAATTATTACATTATTATTAATAATTTTATCTCGATCGTGTTTTATCTAATTTATTCATTAAATATAAGTCCAATATTTTATGAAAAATTAAATGCACATAATTATTTTCGCTTATAATATATCATAAATTTAGTCTAAAAATAAAATAACTTCCTATTATTTATTATATTGTATATATTATATTACCATTTAGTTTATTTCATCTATATTTAATTTTTAATTTTATTATTGATAACTTTATCGAGTACAATTGAACTTTAGTGAGTTTGATTTTAAAGACTTAACAATATAATTATGTTTATAGTTAATTAATTATTAATATGATCGATTACCGAATAATATTAAAATCCTAAATATATTACAGTTGTAACTTACAGCTGCAAGTTAGTCATCAGTAAGGCCATAAGTACGTACTTCATGTCTTAATAATCTTTGAAGTATGTTCCTATGTATTTATTTTATATTATTAAAAATTACTTAATATTTTCAAAAGAATTATGTATCACATTTTAATTTTGTTAATCTAAAATAAATTATTAAATTTGTATTTTTTAAATGCAATTTATTTTTTTACGATTTTTTGATAAAAAAAAGTATTATTGAGTATTTAAAAATTATTTAACAAATCAATAATTAGTATTATTAGAAATAAATTGTATAAAAACCACTCATATAAAAAATTTAGCTAAATATACACTCTTATGAATATAAAAAGGGTTAAATATGCAAAATAAAATTTAAAATATGAACTCTTTATGTGATGAAAAAATTTTTATTGTATAGTTAAAACAATATAATAATTTACCAAGTTATCAAATAATTTATAAAGAGATGTTATTTCTGTAGAAGTTTTTATTGATAGTCTTTTTAAATTTCTTAGCAACTATCTATTATTCTATAGCTTGTAAAGTTGTAAATCACAATTATTATTGTATTAAAAATGAATGTATTTAATATTATTATATAATTGTTTTAATTATAATATATCATACAACTGTTCATGTGCATTAATTAAATCATTAAAATAAGTTTCTTCTAAAATTATAATATAACCAATTTATTTTATATACTATTATACCGATTATATTGTGTATATTGTTATGGTATATTATTTTAATTCATAATAATAAATTATGCTTTAGTTTTTATTCCACATATCGTGTACTGTAATTTCTTATATACATAACTATTATAATCTGTAATAAACATGTATATACTACACAATATGCAAAATTATATACATTTTAACAGAAAAAAACAAACCTACGTGTTGTTTCGGGGGAAAAAAATCTTAAATTTTGAGTGTATTAATTAAACATATTCAAATATACATTTAAATGTCCAAAATACTCTTCTATATTTTTAATATTATGAATAATTTTTAAAGTATTGAAATACATTGTATTGATAAATATGTTAGCTTGATATAAATCGAATTATAAGTATTGATTATTCAGTATTGATTAATTTATTTTATACCTTATTTTATATTATATTATAACTATAATTATCTAAATAATACCACTTAACTTGTTATATATTTTTATGCTGCAATAAAAATCAGTATTATTAACATATTTAACTTTAAATGTCTATATTAATTTACTTATATTTCTACATAATAATACCTGAACAATAAATACATACATTTTCCAAAAATGCTGAGTACAGGAATTCTTCTTTCTTCGGGTTTGTCGAATCAACTGAGTATGATTAATGAGATAGTTTATGTCATTTAATATCTCTCCTTTATTTTCACTGAATTTATAATATGTACATATATAATATTATGTTTGATACCTATTGAAAATTATTTTAAAACGCTAACTATGTTTTGACGCCCTTATCCCTTTGTCCCTTTCTAGCTCATTCCCTTTTCCCTACCAGTACCTGACTCATTAAACACTCTACACTGTCTGCCGGGTGATTTATGTATATTCCGGATTTTTATGTTTGTTCAAAATATATTACAGTATAATAATATTGAAAAAAAAATGAAAGATAATATTATCATTCATTATAAAATTCATTAGTACAGTTCAGTTTTTGAGATAACTTGATTTGTTACTCACTACTCACTATATAAAAAAAGATTAGATGAAAACAATTGTTCTAAGTGTCTATATTTTTTAAACACTTAGAATATGGGATTCAACATGAATAACTGTGACTATAAAATAAATATAATGCTACATATTTACATAATAATATTATAAGTTCTAAAATTATAAATCTGTCAACATTATCATAGGTAGTCAAATATGATAATTGAATATTTAAACTTTTTTCAATTAATTTGAGTTTTTAATACACTGTTAACAATTTAAAATGATTCATTTCTAAGTAATTAATAAAACAGTTAAAGTGATTTATTGGATTTTATATTTTTATATTACTCTCTTTATTCAAAACTTCATAAAAATGAATTCAATATTTTATGTATAAAGCTATTGCTGATTTTATAACTTGACACTTTAATCGTTCACAAAATTACTACCAGACTATATTTAAACGATAAATCATTAACGAAATGATTAATTATGAATTGAATATGGAATAACTGAGAAAATTAAATTGTATATCATTAATTTTTTTATATTGTGCGAGTATGTACAGTGTACACAGATAATTGAAAAAACAATTAGTCAGTAGTCATAATATACTTGTATATACCAACGATTGTTACTTAATATTGTCTTATAGTTTCTGCAATTGATTTTTTCAATGAAATATCGCTTGCTGCTCAAAAAATTATCTACCCAAAAGTTTTAAACGTGAGTTTTTAACTGTTTTAGAAATAAATATTAATTTAAATACACATATATAGTTATTGGTTTACATCATTATAACGATGATTGATTTTTGCTTTGAAATCATTTTATATTGTATTGCAATTTAAAAGTATTAATATTTTTTTGAGACCAAATATATTTATGAAATAATCCCTACTATTAATTAAAAGCTCCTTCAGGTTAGATTAAGTCAATAAATGTTTAATAATAGAATGAATTGTTTGGATTTTATTTAATATTATAATATTATATCTTAATATTTTAATATTTTGTTATTTATACATACAGTCGAATTCGCTTATAACGATGCCGTTTACAACGATATTCCAGGTAAAACGATTCCAAGCAATGTATTTGGTTGGTTTTATATCTTATGTGTTGTTACATTTTATAATCTGGATATAACGAAGTTCGATTCTCTTGGTCTCTTGAAGATCGTAATAAGCGAATTTGACTGTAATTACAATATACATAAAAAAATATTTAACTTCAGAATACTTAACATAGCCAAAGTGCATGTTAAATATTTTAACTCTCTTAAAAAAAAAAAAAAATGTATTGGAAATGTAAATTAATTAATTACCTATCTATTCAGTCAATAATAAAACAATAGCTAACTTTGAATTTTATGTTGAATAAATTAAAATTGATAAACTTTTTCTTTTTTTTATAATTATTCATACAAATATAAACTTTATTAAAAGTTAAAATTTTGACAAATTGTTAAAGTACCTAGCTATTCAAAATATGTTATTATTCAATATTTATTTTGAAAATAATTAATCAATATATTTATAACCAAATTATCTATGAATAAAGTGTTTCATATGAGTGTACAAGACTTTTAATCATAGTAAAATAATGTCAAAATGAATAAAACAATATTTTCAATAATTGAATTTATGAAAAAAATAAAAAAATAAAAACAGAATGATGCAAAACAGTCAAAAAATTTTAAATAATATATATAAATTTGCATAACTTTTAAAAAATCAACTGTACAAAGCAATTATATAACTAAGAATATTTTTTGATTTTTAAAATGTGTATTCTAAACAACATTATTTTTTAAATTAGAAAATCTCATGATTAATATTTGTTTGACGAATGACGAGGAAAAATGTTTCCCTGAGATAAAAAAAAAAAAAAGAAATGGGTTTTCTATCTGCGGCTAAAGCTAAACCCGACAATTTCTCTGTCTACGTGACCTGGATAAGATGTTGCATTGTGCTAGCTTGCGTATTATTGTAGTACAAGCATTATGTATATACGTAAATATATATTTTTCGTATTTTATATAAATATATATATATATATAAATTTTGTTCACTTTCTTTCAGAGAAAGAACGGCAGGAGACATGAAATAATCAGACTCTGGAAAAGTTCCATAAATCAACGCCAACTGGCCCCAGTAGTTGTCATCAATTACTCAACATAGAGGAAACAGCACCGTAACACTTTTTATCATTAACAGTAAAACGAAAAAATACGCGCAACTGAAAATATATACATTGATATATGAATATAATATCTGTTGATCGAATAACCCTATCTTTGCGCTTTCTTATTGTTACTTTAAAGTTGATAATTAGGAATAAAATAACATAAAAATTTAAATAATAACAATATTTTCCACATTTAATCTACTTAAATTCATATTCACACGTCAGGTCTATAATTTATAATAATATAATAGTAAAAAATGTCAGTTATAATATATAATTTACTTCATAAAATTATATAATTGAAACAATATAATTTAATATAATTTATCAATTACAGTAAAATATTATTATATTATATTGAACTTAGCAGCGTAGCGTTAATATCCCTATGATAAATGGTTTAAAATTACAAACAACTTATTCACAATTTCAATAAAAAAAAAAAAAGATCACTATAGGTATAAATTTAATAAATATTTGTTTTTTTACAACAATTCATATGATTACATAGTAGTATAAATCATCACAATTAATATAAATATAATTATATTCTCGATATTTTACCAAACGATATTCAATCAAATTAATGTGTTAATTTTATAATAAATATTGAAATTATTTACTATTTATAATATAGTAATAGCAGAATTGAGTTTTTTTAGTTAAGTAATGAAAAATTACTTATTTTTAAATAATACAATTTTGCTACGCTGCTCCATTTCAGCTTTGGTTTTAAATATTAAAAACATCACAAAAAAAAAAAAAATAATAATAATAAAATAAATAAATAAATAAATACAAGTTTTAATAATTATACTTATAAACATTTTATTCTTCAGACTTATTTCACCACCTTTCTACGTGACTAAAGCTTTCCAGGTTCTTAATTTCGATACTTTGGTAATCCACATCAACTTTATTTTGCCTCCAATGCAATCTCTTTATTGTGTCCCCTTTTATTTTAACCCAAACAGTACCAGTCGCTAAAAGTATCAATAACAACACAACACACACAAAAACTATCACACCTGAATGAGTTTTTTTTGCTAAAACGTGTGAATTTTTAGGATCTTCTTTCGATCTTAATCGTGCAAATACTGCTGCTTGTTCTATTGTAGTCGTAGTAACTCGATAGGTCGGAATCGTAGTCAAAGTGGCACAGTATTCTGAATCGAACACTTGTTGAAAATAACCATCATTTCGTCTACATTGCACACTTTCCACAGAGGATTTGAATTTTTTCAGTTGATAGTTTCTGAGTCTCAACTCAGATTTATGTAACTTGTAATGTTGATCTTCGGATGTATAAATCTCACATAGCCAGTCTCTGAGCCACGATTCGATGCACTTGAGCTCGTTCAATATTAATGTTTTAATTTTAGGCATATGATAAGGTAAGCGGTTAGGAAGTGAAGTCACATTGCATTCCGTTAAGTCTAAATATTCAAGTTGAAACATAGATGACAATACAGCACTGTCGTTTAATAAAATTTTAGCAAGATGTTTGCTGTGCGCCAATTGGATTCGATTCAAGTAACGTGTATCAGTGAATGGGAATGTTGGTGTTTCTGGTGCCATTAGCCTCTCCAGCTTCAAGACTTTTAATTTTACTGGACCTGCTAACATTTCTCTAGTGATCATTTTGATTGGATTTTCAGATAAATCTAAAGTATCAAGAAATAATAAAGACGCAAACGTAAAGTCCTGTATATGCTGAATATTATTTTTCCGAACGTTTAATATTTTCAGTCGTTTGCAGCCCTCAAAATCTTCGACTCCCAAGTTCTGTATTCTATTACTTTCTAAATTTAATTTTTCTAAGCTTTCTGGTAAACTTTTTGGTACTGTTTCCAATAAGTTATCACTCAAGTCCAATAAGATCAGTAAATCAAGCCGACCAAATGCGTCGTCTTCTACAATTTTAATGTGATTAGCACTAATGTTAAGCAAGTGGAGAAGTGGAAAACCATCCAAGTCACCACTATTCACTGTTCTTATCATATTACCACTCAAAATAAGTGAACCTAAGAGCGGAGCTGGCGTAACTGGAATTTCTGTAAGATTAGTATACGAAGCATCTAATGCTTGAAGTCTTGGACCGGAACCCAAAACAACGGGAGCCAATTCTGCGTTTTTGGCAATGTTCAATTCAACTAAATTTTCAAATGGCTGAAATACTGTTGTACGATCAAGATCATAGTTTTCAGAAACATCGAGATAACGTAACGTAGTACTGGGTAACGTTTTTTCTGATATTCTCGTTAACGCATTACCTCGTAAGTCCAACCATTGAAGATCCGGCATTCCAACAAATGTATCATTTTCAATCCACAAGATAAAATTATTTCCAAGATCCAAAACTTCCAAAGAAGATGCATTTACCATATCAGTTTTATTTAATGACTTAATGTAATTCCAACTTAGTGTTAAATTTCTAATATCTGAACACATTGAGAAATTGTATATCTTATTGAACGATAATATCATAGAATCAACACTTACCATATTATTAATGGCAACGTGGCAAGGACTTAGAATGTTGTTTCTGGACACGTCAAGTGTAGGTAATGTTTTTTTTTTATCACTATAAATATAAATCCCATTCAAATTATTTTGCGATATGTCTAGTTTAGTCATACCGTCAGTGTGATTTAAGTCAATTTTGTACGGTATGACGTCACAGTAAACATCGTGAGAGCCGCTTGTAGGCAATTCCAAAACACATTTTTTTTGGACTTTTGCAACGACAACTGACAGCAAAGAAACTACAATAGCGTTTAAAATCACTACCATTGTTTGTTCGCACTCACGACTTCACAGCCGCCATGCTAAATATTTTAATTTCTTGATATTCTTATACTGCAAAAATTAACTTTGATCGAATTCTTTTCATTTTATTTATCTGTAAATATAAAATAATACTTCAATTAAAAAAAGAAAATGTAATTTTATGAATATTACGTATTTAAATTACAAATATCGTGTATAATTTCAAATAATAAATATGTATATTAAACACATAATATATTATTATACGCTTATTACATTAGCTGCGTATTATATACGAATGATGATGATAGATTTCTGTTTTTATTTTTCTAAATAACTTTTTCCCCTTCAATACCAACTAACATAATTTTCGCTCTCAGTATGGGGTTGGTTTGTTTTGACCCTTTTGTTTTCGACGGTTATGTTACTAACTCATATATATATATATATATTCTTGTATTTATTATGACTATATAACAATGGTCAAAATAATAAGCCCACTGCCCACATAACAACATGAATTTAATTTTATTTTTATTTTTGAAGTCCTATACGTAAGCTCGAGAAAATCATTGAAACTCAGTAGTTTCTTCTATTGTTCTGTGTCCACGCTATCATCATAGTCATAATAAAAAGTTACATACATCGAAACAAAGCATACAGTAAACCAACTTTTATACCGGAAATATAACAATGCATAATTATTCATTTTTATCACTGGGCTTAACATTAAACTTTAGCAACCCTTAAAAATTATATAGTTTGTAATTTTAGTCAAGGTTAAGATTGTGAGCTTTTAATTTTTGAAAGTATACAATTATATATAATATATACAGTGTAGAGGTGTACGTCAATGGCAGTAGTAATACTTAATACGTTTATTTTTTATTAACTTTAAACTTAAGCCAACCTTAATTTTATGGTTATAATAAAATTTTAGTAATATTTAAGTCACATTTATTTAATAATATAAAATAAAATAAATAGTTAACACTCAAGTGCAGTTATAATAATCATAAAATAGGTACTATTTAATCTGATTTAAAATCTTGTGGCTAAATTTTGTTATAAACTCATACTATTTGCAAAGGATCGATCATATGCACATTATAATATTATAGTAAGTATAGCTATATTTTTAAGCAACAGAGTTTTCTAGCCATTTTAAATTTGTCTACGCTTAATTTAGTCTTGATTATGATCACATTACATCAATTGAATTATAATATTATCGTTATGTATGCAGTGTGTAATAAAATTTAGACGCAGGTTACTAACCTCCTTCTCTGTTGGCGTATTAATATTCACGACATAATATTATATTATCACGGCGACCATTATGTTACATGGAACGTTGGGTTCCATGAATGACAGATTGCAAGGGAACTTTTCTTTTGCGTTTGAAAAGTTTTTACATAACCGTCGCTCGAAGGGTGCCTTAGGTGACTGATGTCCGGGTTTTGGTGAAAATGTAAATTCAAAGTTTTGGTTGACTTTAAGTTACCGAAATACTTAAGTCTCGTCTTCCTGTCAACCCAACCTTTTAAAAATATAAGGTACATACTACATACTCAATGCCTGTATAAAGTCGTATATAATCTAGTAATTTATGATCGGAGCAGACTGAAAAATGTATGTCACACAACACCCACATACATGTCAACAAATACGTATAATAGAGCTAATTAAAACGATAAATGATCGTTAATGCACACATATAATAATATAGTCACTTATTATCATACTGAAATTTTTATTAACATCAATGTATATAATATATATTTTATCGGTAACAGAAATAGATAATTATTGCATAATTTACCGTTATAAAAAAATAATTGAATTAAATTAACTTGAAATTAACTTCACTCTACCTTATGTATTTTTATAATACACGCAATGCGCATTAAGTATTAAATTATAATATGCAATAATCCTTCATAAACCGAACATTGCACAATGTGTATCTACGTAATTGCATAATAAAGTCAGTCCATTTCAGATACATTAATTAGCAAAATTAACACATGAATACATAATATAATACTTATTAGTCATTTAAGACTTAAATATGTAATTTCATTTATTTTGTACACACAGTAAAATTTCGTTAAATCTAACGCATTGAATAAACGTATCAATGTAATTGGATCAACAACATTGATTGAACACTATTATATTAAAATATAATAAGCAATATTTATTTTATTTAAAAAAAAATATCATATTTTGAGAACTATGTTATTAAGACATTATTATTTAGAATTTGAGAAACAAAAATGCATTACATATTATAAAATATTAGCCTGAAAGTTTTCTTGTTTATTATACGTTCTATACATAAGTACCTAAAATAATATGGTATTATAAAATAATCAACTTTACTACCATAAGTCATAGTGAAATAAATACGTTATTCTTATTATTATTTGTTATTGGACCTCATTTTAATTTTTGTAACCATAATTTTCATTTATATAGCTTACTTGTGCAATTCTATTACAGAGTATGATAACAAATTAAACATATTCTTCATTTGCAATAATATGTGGCCCATTGTTTTTACAGTAAATAAAATCTACTGTGGTAACCTAACCTTGATTGCACCAATCAATAAATACATTTTTTTAAAGTGTATTTAAATTAAAAAAAAAAATATGGATATTTTAATGCTTTAATTTAGAAAGGACTGTTGATCAAACTATTTATTTTTATTGAACTGAACTGGTATATATTTGAGTTTTATAGTATTAGGTATTATCTAACTTGTTTTTCATTTTTTTTTACTCTCTTTGATGATACTTAGGTCCATCATATATGGCATAACCATAGATGTATATGCATATAAAAATACGATTAAACCAGAATTCAATTTGCACCCGTCGGATGCAGACGTGCTATTCCAATAGATTTTTATCCCATCGATAACGCCACGCGAGTAATACATTTCCATGCGTTGCGTCAAGCTTAGCTTATAAGCCTTCGGATCCAGCAAGTTAATACAAGAGAATAGAATGAAAATCAAGTAGGGGGAAATAAAGAACGATTTCCCACCTAGAATTGAGAAATGAATTTCGTATGCAAACTGGGTAAAGACGAATAGGAAGTGCGACTTGGTTCCGGAATCGGGAAGACTTGTCTTGTTTGGATGAGACGTGATGAAGGGAGAATACATCTAGACCAAGACAAAGAAAAAAAAGAAAAAATGCGTGTCTCTCTCATGGGAATGCAAACCTTTGTTAAGTAAAGAAGAAAAAATATACAAAGCAAAGGTATTACAAATCTGGTTATAAAGTTGGCCGAGCACGAAAATAATCCAATCAAGCATAAGTATGATTTTACGAGAGGACTGTACAATAATATATCATTCAAAAACAACAAAAACCGTTTTAATAACATTTATTATATACGAGTCACTCTTCATTAATTTCTTAACATAAAATTTTAATATTTTTTTAAAACTTGACTTTGCTGTGAAAGTTTTATTGAATTAGTTTTATATTATAATATTTTACTTTACATTTTCTATAATTATATCTATATACTATTTTATTGAATTATATGAGCATGATATAAATATTAAACTACGATGAAAAAAATATAAATATATAATACATAATATGTAATTATAATATATTATAATTATCTATATATTTATTATATGCATATTTATTTACGCATTATTATTACTATACGGTATATTATTATGTTTATAAAAAGCTATGATAGACAGATATTATAAAATTATGATTTTGGAAGCAAAATAACGTCGACCAATGTTAATTTTCAGTAGCGATTTATTACCACAAGGAAATTTTGTCTTAATTGGTTTTTACTGCTCTACAAAATGTTCACTCGACCAAAAAGTTACACCACCACTCGTTCAGCGGCCATGGTCCCTCAGTAATTATTCAAACGATGAAAATATGAATAACTTTATTACCAAAATTCACTCAACGCTAAAAGTTTCCACAGTTATTTCAACATTGTTTTCAGCAAACAGTCATGTACATTTTACATTGTTAGTAGCTGATTTAAGGATTCTCCAAAATATATGAGTAAAAATACAAAGCAAACAAAACATGTGATTTAATTTATTTTAATATTGTATTCAAAATCCTTGGTTGGGGTTGATAATTAAAATTCTGATTAGATAATCTTAGGCAACTGGATTTGGTTTCAAAACCATTCACCATTTGATACAATTGATGATTCGGGTCAAAAGGAACCCACATTACCACATTCATTGTGCCACTATTTGTGTCTCTTTCGTTTATTTATTGAGGCCAAAGATACTTTGGATTAACATTGGAAAGATCTAACAATCGTTATACCATTACCTCTAGATATTTACAGCCGTCGTTAAACATCGAGCGTTTCAATGTCTTAACAAAACTATAAAATATATTTATTAACAATTTCGAAGTTGATTTGTTTGGGATCTTTAAAATCATTGTGACTTGTGTGAAGTTAATTATTTAGTACTAGCTAAATATATTAAATTCAATGTATGAAAATAAAATAAAATAGTGCCAGTATAAAATATCTAATTTATTAACTAATAAATATATTTACACAAATATATTAATATATTTAGTATATTCATATTATATTATTAATTTATTATTACGTTCAACTATCTGCAGTTATGAAACATTAAATAATTTTAATATTTGAAAAAAAAACCATAACATGTAAATACTTTATTTAAAATATTTTCATGGAAATGAATAATGTCAAAATTAAAAAAAAATTTTAACTTAAATTTTTGAATAATTGCTGTTTGCTTATGTAATTTAATATTATTATTATTATTATTATATTTAGAAGTAAGGCTTCAACAACACAGGTTATTAGCCTAGTATAAATTATAACAATATTAGAAATATTAGAAAAATAACGAGAAAATTACAAAAAAATTTGAACTTAAGAACTATAAAAAAAATAAATATTATTATTGTATTGTTTATATATAAACATATTAATTTAATTTTTTTACAAATCAATTATTTATTGAAAAATTAATTATTACCTTAACATAAGAAATAAATTACAGTAAATTGATATGTAAAAATGAATTTATCATTCAATAAAAAATTTTAGTGATATAAAATGAAAAATAATTTTCAGTATTTATAAATACTGGGACTATAATTATAAACTAGTAAACTGCTTTAATAAGTAGATATTTTTAAAGAATAAGTAATTAATAAAATTATAAATAAATATATTTATTTATGCTTATTTGAAATTTGTATATAAATTCTTGTTTACACTAGTTATTACAAAATGTTGAAAATATTAGTAAAATTAAATTTTAACGAATAATATTATCTATGTTTAAACCTTTTTAATTATTATGAATATAATTATTACCTTAAATAATAATTTAATAGATTCGATTCAAGTTACTAATAACTAGATCAGCTAAAATTAAATTCTGCTTAATAAAAAAATTCATTATGTAATTTTTTCATTATATAAAATAGCTTAAAGAAAAATTCAAAACTATTAAAATAATTTATTTACGATATAATGATTAATATTGAAGTACATTATTTATATTTATATACTACTAGGTATATATTTAGGATCTTTATATGATTTTGTTTCAAATATATTCAACATTTAAATTGAACCTGTTCATCTACCTACGTTATACAGATTGTAAAATGTATATATCAATAGCTAATAGCTGTGCTATTATATTATTAAATGTATTTAACCAAAGGATCCCGACTTTATGTTACATAATATTTACGAGTACTTATATTATTATCATAAGCAGAGATATAAAAATAATTTCTAAATAATTTTTCCTAAATAATGTATAGGTACCAGTAAAGTACCAGTTTCTGGTTTTGAACGGAACAAATGGTACCAGTAAATAGTAATATGATACTTACTATTATTTTTTTCTTATATCTATATAAAATAATTAAACTTTTTATTATTACTTGCTTTTTTATTATTGAGAACAAAGTGGGATGTATTTGGACACCAAAGATACTTCCTTGCGTCTCTGACTATAACTAGATATACTACACATACATTGAAAACACAAATAATTTTTAAGAATTTAATTCATATCGATTCTTAATAACTATTTTATATTTCAGCAGAACCTATACTTTTATTATTATTATGAAAGAGTTCTCACCTTTTCGCATAATGTGCGGTATTAACGACACGCTGAAAAGTGTCGGATGACCATTGACGTTTTTCTCGTAGCATTATGCTACGCGTGACCCTATTATTTTGGTGGTCGCCTGCAGCGTTTTACAAACGTCGGCGGGTGGAAGGAAAACGCGTCAACCGGGTGATTGCACTTGGGGTAGTTCGCACGAGAACGTGGTCCGGAGTCTACTGATCCGATATTGAATCCTACGGGCACAGCGTTCGTCCCCGGTACGGCATAGTATAATATATATATATATATGTGAATGAGGTCTCGTTCGCTGCCACTGGGCGCGCAGTGTAGCCGTTAGTTTACCCAGCGGTGATGGGTCCCTTATGTATATACTATATTTATATACATGTGTATGTGTGTGTATAGTAGATTTTGTATAATTGCCTTTGGAAACAATCGGATTACTGTCGAAATAAGAAACGTTTAAAAAAATAATATATGCACTAATACACTACCCTACATTTGGGATTAGTGTATGTAACCAACTGCTTTCTTAATTCGCAAATACATAAGTTTATACATTATAATTTATATTATAGGTATAGGTACACCTACATGGTTTGAATAACTTATAATAGCATTTCATTTTTAGAATATTTAGGATTCTTTAATGTGTAATCAAAAATATTATATTATGATATAGGTAGATTATTATTTTAATAAAATTATAAACTTAAAAAATAAATGATAAAAATCAAATTATTTTTAAATATTTAATATTAACATAAATACATCTAACTATATAAAAAAAAATGTTAAAATTACCTAAATTAATTTAGTATGTTATGTATTATAATTTATAGTATATAATAAATATGAATATTATTTTCAAAATCTTAAATTAACCTGTATTACCTTTGCATTTTTAATAATTTAAACAAAATTTGATTTATTGAAAATATGCCGGTAATATTACATATTATACAATAATTATAGTAATAATAATAATGATAATAATTTATTCAAATGAATAAAATGGGCAGTTATCCAATGTACAAGTTAAAATTGTTAAAATTAGTAAAAATATAAACAAAGTAGAATTTATATATAAAATATTACATAGTATTATTTAAATATATTGTATGAATTATACTTAATGAGGAATGAAAAAAAATCGACATCTGTACCAAATTTGTTACACAGGGACAGGGTCATATATTTCTAAGAAATGGAGAATTTTTTAAATAATTTGTGCAGTATAATGGTAAATAAAACATGGAAGTAGAACGGTCATTATAAACTGGAATGTTTAACGGAAAAACTTTTAATAAATAAGGAGCGTCAATTTTGTTACTGATTAATTTATATAAAAAAAGTAATATCAACTAATTCACGTCTTAAAGTTAAAGTAGGGATGTTAAGGAGAAATCTTACCGGTGTAAAGTCATGCTAATCAAAAATTATATTGAATCTGAAAGTTATAAACTTTAAAAATTGGTTTTGAATTCTTTCGATATAATTGTTATTTAATTTAGTTTAAGGACTCCATATTTTAATTATTTCTTAGATTGATCTAATTTACGCGGCAATAGAGTAGTTTAACTGATTTATAATCTTTAGAATCAGAAGAGTGGCGTTTTACAAAGCCCAATACTTGTAGACATTTTTCTTTTATCTTATGGTAAAAATTTCAAATGTTTAATATGTTCCTGAAAATTAAAATTGAGGGTTAGGATTATACCTAGGTTTTTTATGCGGATGACAATAAATTAAATTTATTATTATTTATACAATAAATAAATTATATATAATGTTCATAGGATCTATAAAAACAAATTGAATATCTAACACTTATTAGTATTTAAGTTCATGCATCAAGCATGACACCAACTAAATAAAATATTTAATTCCTCTTGAAGAATTGAATGGTCATTAATTGAAGAAATACGAGAATGCATTTTTAAATCATCTGCAAAAAATAAATGGTATTTTTTTAGAATAGATGAGATACCGTTAAAACCATAATATATTATGAATAAATGCTAGAAACACGTAAGACGTAAGTACAACATTTTCTAAAAAGATTCATGATATATGTACTCACTAAATTTAATTATAATCAATCACTCCGTGGCCCCATTATACCAACGATTTAAAATAAATATTTAATACACAAATAGTGGTAATTAATATTACGAGTAAGTTAAATTCACATTTAATACACTTAAATATTGTACATATATGTGTTTAAACCTAATTACATTTTTAATATTATAATGATGCGTGTAATCCGTAAAATTAAATAACCTAACACACTCTGTATACAAATATTATTTTTTTATTCACACCCTTCTTGATTTCTAACGCTGTATATACACATACAAATAAATATATAATACGTTTATTAAATATATACATTAGGTATTCGTATAAATATACATTTCCTGTAAACAACATTACGCTTGATAATGGAATCTCTATGTATGCACCAATATAATGATGGTGGTTGACGATAGAAGGTATACGAGCGTTTATATGTGTTTAATATTATATTTCATCACTGAATCGTTAACGATATACCTATATATATATATATATATATATATATATATATATATATATATATGTATGTCAGATAAATAAATAAGATTATATCATTTCTATCGTTTAAATTTATGGAAAACTGAAAATGTTCTTTTTTTCATGATAAACAAAAATATATTGAAATAATAATAATGTTTATACTATAATAAAATGTACCTATGTATACCTAATATGCACCTATATATATATATATATTACGACGGGATCAATCTCTTGGGATGTGTAAAAAGTCCATAACCTTTTTTTTAACATAAAGATACTTTTTTTGGGACTGCAAAAAAAAATTATTTTAAATATTCGTTTAACATAATATTATACCTACAGCAGCAGCGTGTTCTTGTACTATTTAAGATTTTAACTTTCTTACTGGATTTGTATGTAAATATTTATAACAATATAATATAATTGAATAAATAGATATACAATAATAAGAATTACAAAATGTTTGTAGGTAAGTAATAAAAATAAATAAATATTTTTGATTTGCAATAAGTGGTTTGTGGTAAAGGTTATAGATAGCTGTATGGTTATGCATGATAACATACACATTGTAGGTACGTAAATAAGTATTTTACACACACGGTGAAATAGTGTGTTAAAATTTAGAAACAATACAAGTCCTTGTATTTGGAAAATAATTCAAACGAAACACATTAAGAATAACTTACATTTTGTTTAATCGTATACAAAAAAAAATACATGAATGTATTTATAAAAAAAAATACTAATAGTTGATTTTTAAGGATTTTTGAAAAAAATTGTTTAATACCAATAGAAATTTATTTTAAGGCTCATAATTTGTAATACTTGCAGGTAGCAGGTTAATTTCTAATGTTTCTATACAGTTAACAGTCGTTGTGATAACAATTATAACGTTTTATTTCGATAGCCAATCAATAATACTGATGAATATCATAATAAAACTCAATCTTTTCTTTTCAATTTTTCATCGAAACGAAGACATACTATTATATTGTAAATTATAATAGGTCATGGAATTTCCAATCCATTAAACATGTGCTTTCACGTGGACAGCAACCACGCTATTACGTTTTCGCTCACAATAATAATTTCTGAGTAATAACATTAATAATGAACATTATTCATTAGTCATTGTTGTTGAATATTATTATTTAATACAATTTACAATTAGAGTTGTAATTAAATGCCAATTGGAGTATTTGGTTTCAGGATGACCTACACGTTTTGACGTTTATAGTAGCACACTTAGTTCGGTTCAGCAGCTTTACGTGCTGTAAAATCAAACTTAACGTATAATAATTTATAAAGGTAGGCACAAGTTATGATAATATTTAACTCGAGTTTAGTTAAGTTAAAAGAGCACAAGGTCGATAAGTTAGAAGTTAACCGTTAAAAAATTATAAATTTAACTCGATAAGTTAACATTTAATATAGAAAAAAATAATAACTTATCTCAGTTTAAAAAAAGTTAATCTATTTTTTTTTTTTTTTTTATTTAATCTGTAAATCACATAACGAACGACTACCTATGTTTTTTTAATTTACTAAATATTATAAAAAACAATTTTATTTAATTTTTATCATAATGCATATTGTACAGTGTAAATACTCTTTTACGTTACATGATATATTATTATTTATTAATTTAAACTATACACATCTCAAATCAATAATTTAACAAATATTTTTTTATATATTATTTTTTCATATAATATAGCAATTGAAAGTCATAAGACATTAAAACAATGCAATTTATAATTCATAATTTTATTAAAAAATTTCTAATATCAATTACAAAAAGCTAAGTTATTTCAACGGTAGTTAATGGCCATCTTTGATAATTTATATTATAAACTATATAATAAAGTATATTTGTATAATTATTTAAGCACATTCGCCGAGGTGACATATTTATGAATTGCACTACCACAGGTTAGAGAACATAGTTCATATGGCTACTGACAAAATAAATGCATAACGAAGTTAATAGTCTACATTGTAGGTAATATTTTTATTTTTTTCGATACCTACACTTGTTTTTCCCATTTCCGGGTAAAAATACAATTTTGTCTTTACGTAAACATGTTTTTTCTCAATTTAACTGACTAATGAATTTCTGTAGTATATTATTTTAACCGATTGCAAATGATTATTACTTTTTAAGTAATATTTTCATTGCGTGAAAATTAATAAATACATATTATTATTGCAGTGTGAGTTTACGAAGGTAAAACGAATCGTAAATTGTTGTACAACAATATTTTATTCCTCTATTTCGAATAATGTCGATTATCTTGTACTATTTTTAAATTTTCGAAGTAACTAATATAGATAACAAGTGTAGAAATGATAATTAATAATTATCATTACACTATAATTAGTATTATAGTATTATTGTGTTCTACCACTATTATCTCCGGACTTTTAAATTTATAGAACACAATTATTTGTGTCTATAAGACTTTAATTTACTTTTCTTTTATATTCATCGATATATCATTAATTATATTCTTCTTCAAATCGTACCTATTAAATAATGGAATTTTCAACATTTCATTAGACGCATCATTGTGGGCGGGACTTGTTTCACCCAAATTTTGTAATTGTAAGATTCCCGTTTCGCCTAGACTAGTTTATACT